GTTACTTTAAATGCAAATAACTAAATCATTACATAAAAACAAGTAATATATAACATAACAAAAGCTTATTCAGTTTGACTTATGGAAAATGAGAAGAGGTACTCACCATCAAACTTCTTGACAGGAATGTCTGCGGCTCGTCGCTTCTTCTTGCGACTGCCCTTTTGTCTGTTCAAGTGGTTGTGGTTGTTGTCCATATCAGAGAATACCATCTCCATTTCCATTGTCAGTGCGTTATCCAACATCAGAGAATTCGGTCGTGGTGGACTTGGTCGTGATGTAGATGAACTGTCGAGCTGAAGAGAAAATTGACCCGTAAGCATACTATGTAAAACAAGGATGCAAAAAGAGAAATCATCAAAAAGTAAAGAGTAGTCTTTGAAGATTAAAAACAAGAAGCTCAAAAACAATCAACATACAGACAGCCTGCCTTCATCAGCTTCCAACCTCGAACTAAATTCATTCCTTTCACTTGTCAGTTATCAGTTGTTGATTCAGTTTCACAAACTGAATTTCCTGAACTTAACACCACCTTCATGCACAGTGAAATATCAAGAACCAATCAGATTGTCAATACAAATTGTGACTCTCCCTGCAGGGAAATTCCCCGTGAAACTAACCTCCACCAATCAGAAACAACCTATCAGTGGTACGTGATGACTAGTCTATTTCAAGAGGGGATTTCCTATGATGGCAGCAGCCTGCTGGTAATTGTTACACCATATTAGGTTGGATGACAGCCAAGCAGGGGATACATGCATGACACAGCCCCTGGCTAGCATTACATCCACTAAGTCATGGAACAATGAGCACACTCAGTCTATCCATTAACTATCCCCACCTGCCTCTATAATGAGGTGATGGTCCAGTGACCACAGTATTTCTTAATGAGGGTTAGAGCTGATAGCATTGAAGTATTTATGGCCCACAGAGTATTAAAACAAACAGAAGGGATAATTGATTGCTTGTCAGCACAAGTGTCTGAAAATGCTGACAGGCACCATTGTCTTTTTATAGACTGTATGTATGCTTAACCACAAACTCTACAATGTGCCATAACAGCAAAATGTAAATTTGTGTAAAAATTAATTTCCTTTCGAAACATTCCTTACACACATTGCAAGTTAAACAAACATCTGCCTTATGCCACAGGTATTTCAAGGCTGCTTATTTTAGTTTGCTAATACTAAGACCTAACCAAGCCTAAGACATGTCATTGTGCTGCACTTCCTTCTTGCAAGTTAGCCACCACTCACGGAACTTGCAAATCTGCACGTCCTTTTACATATATGTCTATCCTGTTCAGGAATAGGCTTGCACCTTACTACAAGCCCTGAGTAACCAAAGTAACATACATGTATCCTGCCTTGCTAAAGCCAAAGAATGACTAATATCAAACACTACATCATCAAGAGTGTACCTTAAACAAGGTGTACTACAGATACAGTTCATTAGACATGAATTTATTTGAATACTAATTACTTTTTTAATTAAAACTACTAATTACTTCTCTTAATTAAGACTAAGTTGAAATTTCCATTAGCTGACAATTAGAAATTAAACCATCTGAACTACTTTGAAATACCTGCTACCTTTGTCAAAACTTAATCAAATAACCAACTGTAAGGAAGAAAAACACTTGATAAAATGTTAAAGTTCCACACCTTGCCGCTTCTTCCTCTGAATCTTATCTCCCTCAGCACCGCTAATACCTTCACCAGCTCTTTCCCAATCTATCGCTACAAACCAACATGTCTTCTCTCTCGCCTGTTCCTGACTGAACTGATCACTTGCCAGCCAGCAGGTAAATATCTGGCCCTGTCTAAAATTACCATCGGGTTGGGCAATGAATGAGGTAGAAACGAAACCTTCCACTGGGGTTAACCCTGCATCAGCCGAGCGGAGCTGTTGACATCAAGATCTATTTATAGCTGGCCTACCTCACAATCACTGTGTGGCTCAAGCGCTGGCAATAACAACAACAAAGGAAGCTAGACTCAATCATGACCAAGGTGATCTAGACATCCACAAACTGTTCCCATCACAACTCGATGGCATGACAGTAACACTGAATTTAACTTACAATGTTTGCTACAAAGATGACATCATCGAATACTTACATTTCTCATAATGAATGATAATTTTTCCAAATAGGCGCTGGTGGTTGAAGCCTCTGCTGACACAGTGCTTTCTGATTGAATTTCCAAAATATCCTGCCCTGATGATAGGAACAGTAGCCGTGCTTCGATCGACTTTCTAAAATGCCTCTCTCCAACGTTCAATTTGCTCAACTGGCATTGCCATAACAGCTAGGTGGCTAAAAGCCCAACTTTCCCGTTCACTCGCTTTCCTCCATTGTGGTACTGATCCTACACCCAGTGAACGGCTGCCTCAGCCTTATATAGCACAGCCCTGCTACGTGGAGGTTGAGTCACGCCACCTGACCACCAATCAAGAAGCCAGACAGTCACCTCAACGCTGTTTACATCTACAAACTCGCTGTACTGCTTGCCTTATCACTAGCTCGGAGCTGGGCTCGCCAGGCAAGTGGGTCACGTTCGAGCTCTGGCTAGTATCATCTAGAATGTGCTATTACAAGGCTGCGCAGCTAGCAAAACACTGATTATAATATGTCTACCTGCGTTATTATCCGCAAGAAAACAAGACAAAAGTTCAAATGTGACATCCGACAGAGATAATAACTTATTGCAGTTAAATTAGCGCTAATCCCTCCACAAACATAGTGTGATATTAACAGAAGTGTTTGTTTTTCTTAGTGAAGGTCAATTACCCTTAATTACTTTGCTGACAACAGGATTAATCCCTTGGTTACAGCAAAACTAAACTTTTCATTTTGAAGCCTGTCAAAGTCTTAAAGAATACAAACATTATTCATTAACATAACACAGGTGCACAAAGTGTAGGCTTCTTCGGAGGATTAACAATGTGCTTTATAGGTTTAAGGAAATACTGCTCACTGCACATTTAACACAACTAGATATCTCTGAAGTAGACTTTATTTTGTCTGATGTTGAATATACGATTGTTAATTTGTTCACTGACAATCTTATCTCATGTCTTCATTTTCACATCATAAGTTTCAGCAGAAGTCTGTGAAACAAATTCAAACTTGACCGCTGCAAAACGGCTACTCGTATACTTTCAAATGACTACACCACATTTATCAGACAGCAATAAATAATATATCAGGGCTCCAGATAATTTTTCAACATCAGGAGTACGTACTCCTTATTTTTTCACTACAGGAAGTACTGGAAAACCATAAGAGTACATTTAGAGTACTGAGTGGAATTTAATGGTGTATCAGTAATCTTGTGTTTCGTTTCATATATGCACCACAACATCACTACTCTTGTGTAAACAGGTCAATAAACAATAAAACAATACTTTTTCAGATAAATATGCCTGTAAATGATTCTAAGACCATACACCATTGCCGTAATGATATCTGCTACGCTTTCTAAATTATTTGCTACGTGTATCGTGTATATTTTGTATCCATACATACGCCGATACAGCCCTTTTCTGGAGCCCTGTATATATACTCTGAGGCAAAGGTTGTGCTTTTCACAGTTTGCATTCTAGATATTCTACTTGCACAATCCTGGTCAACACCAGTTTTGAACATGTTGATTACTACTTTCAATAGCTGTTTTGATATGCCTACTATCTATTACAATTATCTGTATGCCATTCTTGTTACTTTATTAATACTTGACTTACCCGATATATCCTCATGTAATTTGAATTTAAGCAAATAATAATGAAAGTATACCAAACTTGTTGAAAGACTATTTGTATGCCAAGCAGTCTCCTGAACACTAAAGTGATAAGAAAAGTGTGAACAAATTGTATTGGAACACCAATGTTTCTTTGTCTTAAGGTGCAAGTGAGAGGTAAGTACAAAACTTACAATCATGTTACAGTTTGCAATACATGTTCCACACAGAATAGTCTAGAATCTCAGTGATATGGTTAATCACACACCCAACATATTGACTCATATTAGCAACCATTGTAAATGTTTCATAATAGTTGATTTGTGTTATTCACGGGGCTGTGAGTATTCAATACCAATAACCCACAGTGCCTAAGGCACAAGGTGTTGATAAACTACCAGATCAAGCCTGCATGATCATGGCAGAGACAATTAGCAATACGCCAACAAAGAGCCATTGTCTCAGGAAAAATGTCAGATCTAAACATATATATACATTACTACATCCAGAATAAGCAAAACATTGACATGAATTGAACAAGGAAAGGTTCAGAACAAGATAACTTGTTTAACTAAAACATGAATATATATAATCAGAGACATGGTCTCTGATATAATCAAATATATCTATCAACACAGGCATAAACATGGTGGCAAGTGTCTTGTCTGAACTCAGAAGCAAATATTGCATGCATGATCATTAATATTTAATCTTCAGTTTATTTTCCAGTTCCGATAAGAAGCATCATGTTTTTCTAATTGCAAGGGCTTCCCTCAAGGGCTCAACAAAAACAGATTGCAGCTGAGCGCCAGCTCAACGAAGTGTATGAAGCCGATAAGTCGTGCTACAAGTAGCACTCTTTTGTGGAATGTTTACATCGCACGAAAGTTTCTTAGAACTTTCTGGGACGTTCAAAACAAATCCGATTACACGTATACTATTGTATAATAAATAATTTACTGGAATGCATTTGCTCCTTTGTAAAATTTCAAAATGGGCTCCGATGAAAATGACACTTACTTTAGTCATTTCTAAGTTAAAAATCCGGTTGTTTTCCATTACATGCACTCGCATCCCTCCATTATTTTTGCAGACCGCCGCCACAGGGATTCTTAGAAACGAGGCTGCATAAATTAATAGAAAATATTGTTATTTCTAATGGAAGAACATCAAACAATCACAAGCATTCACAATGGCGGCTATTACGACATCACATCACTTTGAAGTTAACGAGGTCTCATCTGACCAAACAAGTTAAAAAAAGCGTGAAAAGTTGTACCCACAATGCCCTGGAAGGTGTAGAACGGAAGTTAGGTTAGCTGCAGACATTTGGTGTTTTGCCGTGACTAAATCGAAACAAAAATCTTAATAAGTATGGATCTCCCAAAGCCCCCAGACGGTGAGTTTATAAAGCTATATTCAATAATTATCTTCACAATTTCTGCACCCCAAATTCTTCTGGAAACCCCCGAGCAAGTAGCAATCAGCAACAGATTGGGAGCTTGTCACCTGTTTTCGTGCTATTTCACATGGCCTCAACCAGTAGTTTGAATTCTTTGATTTGTTTACAGCGATATTTTCAGATGTTATGCGAAGTATATTTTCATGGCGAAAGCTCTCAGTACGTTTCGTACCAATCTGATCGCCCCATATTACAGTATTATGATAAAAGAATGTGCCAACAAGCAGGCAATAGTAAGTTATTCCTATGACATAAATGAGTGCTTTCAAACTAATGACAGTGTAATGGATAGCAACTGGTTCCTCCTTAAATCGTTTGACTTCAATGAATCGAAACGTTCCAGTTCCAGTTTTCTCAGGTGCAAGATCAGGTGTATATTATTAACTTATTTTTTTTCTAGAAACAACAGAAACTAGTAGACAAGCTACATGTTCACTATATCATGCTGTAGGAAGGCGTTTCCTATTCTCGCGGTACTTACAGATATCGGCTGAAAAAATAACAAACAATTCCTATCGTATTAATGCTTGTTGTTTTTAAATGAAGGGCCTTCTCCTCTAACATCTACATCTATCAGCTGTCAGATCCATCAGGTGAATTACCACTCGTGAGCCCGGTGATAAACAATGCCATTGACGAAACGAGGCTTCTCCCATTCTCGCGGTATTACCAGGAATTAACGTTATTGAGTGTATGTAAGAGCAATCCTGCTGGAAAGGGCGGGAAAAAGTAATGATATGTCCAAGTTGGTATAAACTCCCCAATATTCGTGACACTGGAAGATTTTGATCACTCATAGACTTGGTTCACTTCCTAGTTACCAGTAGGTGATGTAAACAACCGCTAAGTGTCGCGAATTGGCGATTTTAGCAGAAAACGTGTTTACCGCGAGAATAGGAAACCTGCGAGAATAGGAGACGGACCTATATTAGTGTTTCTAATTACACCTGTATTTTTTGTTCTAATCACACTTTAAACATTTGTAATTGATATACCTGCAGTAAGCCATGCTAAAATACATGTAGTGGAGAACTGGACAGTCTGTACCCACAGAGATTTGTACCCAAAGTTTTTTTGCAAACTCATACCAAAATATAGGATAACCCGTCCCCACTTGTACCTAAAGAACTGGATGACCTGTTCCTCAAAAGATGAAATACTCAAAGAAATATTTAATATCTGAAGTGAATGTGTAAGTAATCTATACTTGCATAAAAAAATGACCTAGATCCAGAAATGATTTTTTAGACTGGGGGCATTGTGGTGACCTGATCTTATTATGAGTTGATAGTTTATAATCCGGAAAATCCTTAATTTCAGCCACTTCTGATGAGTATCTGCTCTACCACTGCATACTGATGACACAGAATAAACATGTTCTCAAAAGATATTCTTGTTAATGATATAACACACGCGCACATTGAATTTGGGTCTTAATCATCCAAATTTAGGTATGAATCATCCCAATTTGGGTACGAGTCATCTAAATTTGAGTGCAGGTAAACCAATACATACAAATGATCCAAAAGAGGTATGACTATGACATGAATTTGGGGTACAAATAAGCCATATTTGTTGTGTACAAATCTCTGTGGGTAGGGGTTGTCTGGTATATAGATAGTGAAATTGTTCCTGTCCTGTTATTAATTTGCTCATGGCACTGATTTCTGCCATAGAACTTTAGGGAGTGGTACTGTTTTCATGTAAGTTATCAACATGCACTTGTAGACTTAGTACCTTATGAATGTTTATAGCTTGAACACTTGGAAAACTCATATGTACTTCTGCATATGGAAGATGAAATTCTTATGGAAATGAAACTGGTCAATTTACAATGTTTAGAGGTAGCAATCATGTGAAATAATGAGAACTTATATGCTTTTGGTAAAAGTGAATATGTGTTATTAGGAATCAGGGGAGGCAGTTACTTTGCTGGTCCCTGCCATTAATGATTATCCTTACTGCAAGCAGTAATAGTTTCAACATAATGACATGTGAGAACAACCCTCTTAGACCCCCTCCACTATTACTATCATAGCACAAGCCAACAGACACCCATGGAAACACAAGTACTCTTTGTACTAAAGCACTATGACATCATATATATGTGTGTCATATACTGAAATGATAATAGTGCTCATCAACTGGTGCCTGTGTTAGGCATAAAATGTTCTAGGACATACATGGCCAGGTTGCTGGGGAGGGCTACAGTGTTAGAAATGGCAGAAACCTGTCTTGGGTTCGAATCCTGGTTCAGCCTGATCATGATTCCAGGTTTGTAAGCACTATACCCATGCGTGAACGTGTCATCAAAGTGGTCAAAGAATCGCAACACTTAGATGCTGGCAGGCTGTGATACAGAATGCATTGGATTGTTAAGTCCAACTCACTCATTTAATGTTCTCTTGGAGTTGTTTGTTTCCGGCAAACCTCAGAGTAACAATATTTACCTTGGCCTTGATAGCAAGTAACACGCTAAACACAACTGAGAACATTATAACAGTTGGTTACATACCAGCAGCAGTTGTGGGTTCAGACGTTAGCTAGTGAATAAACCGCAAGTGATTGCATGTCATGTCATAATGACATTGTTCACATAAATATCCTGTGCACATTGATAAATTACATTTTAAAACCAGTTCCTTGTTATGATTTTCGGTTTCATAAAAACAGAAGGAAATGTACCTGAGTAACCTGAACGTAACTCCTGGAAAGGGCTGAGATATGCATTGATTTTAGGATGTCACGATACATAAGTTTCAGGAATTGAGACGTATCACGATAATCATGTCACGATTTGATACGTATCATGATACCTATTTTCACGGGATTATTGTGTAAATTTAGTTACATTTTGAACATTAATATTTCATATTTTATAACTGTACATGAAAAGATCTACATTTTGTATTCTCAGAGATTAAAAAGTTCTAATTTCCCATCTTTGTGCATGAAAAATAATCATTTATAACTCTCATAACATAAAAAAACTTGATTGCAAAATGTAAACAATACATAAGCATATTTAAACCGATACTTTCAAAACTAAATATTGATACAGTATTGAATGTATCGATAATTGTATCGGCTTAGAAAATGTATCGATGTATCGTGGCATATCTAATTGATTTGTGACTATATTGTTTTTGTTTGATATGAATTTGGCACTTACATTCAAAATGGGTATAATCAAACATTTTTGTCAGCACCCCATTACATGCTTTAACTTGTTCTAACATGCATGAAAAGATACTTCTTTATCCCTGCACCGACATTGTAGTGTTTTCCTGTTGACACAGTGGTCATCCTGGGATGCCTACTTCCTTGTCAGACCCCAGAATTTATTACCTAGAATTTCCAGACTCACCAATCCAGGGACCAAGGTGCTTTCCAGAATAAACAAAATCTTGGGTCAATTCAATATTTCAAGTCCAGCTGATTAACATGATTGTGTCATAATACTCACTGTTTGTTGGTCCTAACATTGTGATTCGTCTTTGTAAGGGGTAAGATAAGAAGGTGTTAATTAACACAAAGACTGTCCTGCTGTGTGATTATGTTATGATCTGCTGGGAAGCAATAACAAATGCGTTGATAGCTTCTTTTGTACGTGAGTCAGCGTGACAGCTGTGGATAGGGTGATTTGTGTCAGCCATTGACAAATAAGTTTTCGGGCGTATATAGGTAAATTGACACATACCTAAGATATGACTGATTTTAATTCTTGTGGAATGATATAGAAAGTGACAAATTTCTAAAGTCAATATCTAGGTGCATTTGATAATGGTGGCCTATGATCATATTGATTGATTTTGTTGGGTTCATTCTATATTTCATATGTAGTTTGTAAGGGCCTCTGATAATCAAGTGAAGATTGACTAAAGTGTCAAAAGTTTAAATAATTCATTGTATACAAACATTGTATTTTCAGTAAATACAGATTCTACTTGGCTAGTAAGTAGTCCTAATTAGTGTTGGGAATTGGTTAAAATGTGATAATTGATGATTGGTTCATTACCGCCGATCAATCATCGAAAATAATTGGTTAGCGTCATTTATGAAATTTGTTAATGCACAAACATATAAGGAAAAAACATCCTTATTTTGGGGGTTTTGGGGGCAAAATTTCACATCTTTAAAGGATGACTAGTACGTTAGGAACATAAATTTCTTGATGTCTGTAAGATCAATTCATTGATGACTTGGAACAAGCTTGTAGTGCTTATGAAATGTAACAGACAAAACCAACCTTGTGAAAAATATTGTTGATGAAAACAAGTGTTCCAAAATTGTTTGTGTTCGATTATGAGAAAACATGATCGATTGCTTGGTCGTTTAGTCACTGCGACCAATCTTCGATTATTTCAATTAATCGGACCACCACTAGTCCTAATACAAGTTAAATGCGGTAGCATAGTTTGACACTATAACAGTATCTAAATGACGTTATAAAGCTAAAGAAGGGGTGGTTGGTGCTCATCATAACTCAACAGCTGAAGTTTCTTGGGATCCCAGATTCCAAAAGCTTTGGCAAGAAACCTGAGGCCAGGTGAACAAATAGCTCAAGAATATTGGGTTCTCGGGATCTCAGATCTTTTTGTTTGGCTACTACTGTGTCACATGGTATGCTGTCTTTTCCTTGCCAGATGCCAGATACCTAATAACATTGGATACCTACCATGGCAGGGGTTGTGTTTATTGTGGGCTTGCGGTCTGTGGCTGGTACTGCTAGTTCGAAGCCCAAGTCTATTACAATTCTGTTTGGTCTTGTAAGCTCAGCTGACAGTAGTACATACTGAAGAATTCTTCTGAAAATATTGCTAATGACCAAATTTTGGCTTGTAGACTGAAAAAAAATGCTTTGGCATGTACATCCCAGTGATAATGTTAGTTTATCATCAGCATGAAACCCCTGTCACTCACTCATCCTACCATAT